CCTTTTATTGTTACCATTTGCCCGAAAACTGTAGGGGCTCATGATTGACTTGAAGGTGCTCGAATATTTTTTGAGTTAACTTGTTTGAATTTTGTTTATGTTGGCTATGTGATCTTAGATTCTTTCACATATCCTGTGCCTTATTAATGAACAAGAATTGATATTACAGGCTAAGAAATTTCTTTTGGATTATAAAATATTAATAGGCGAAGACTCTTTAGTCTGCTGTTTTCTTCTGTGGAACTTGATACAATAAGTACTTGGTGGAGAATTACTTGGGTTTTGCAACTTTCTATCTATATTTTGCACAAGAAAACCAATTAGCAATTAGTTTTAATTTTTATCATGAGTACTATACAATCAACATTATTTTATGTTATTAGTGCTTTCATTTCATGTTCGCACCAGTGGTCTAGTGGTAGAATAGTACCCTGCCACGGTACAGACCCGGGTTCGATTCCCGGCTGGTGCATTAGTTTTAATATTTTTTAAAAATATGTGAAGTACAAAATCAAAATAAAAAAATTGGTTTTTTTAATCCCCGGAGTTGAAATCTATTTGTCACTTGAACATTTGACAATATTTTTGTTAAATTTAGGGGACCTACGGTGAATAAACAAATTATCAGGATATATAAAAAAAACTCCAATAAAATCTATACACTTAAAAAGATTAATTAATCTAAAAAAATAAATAAAATTACATTAGAGGTTTTTTATTTTTTTTCCTCCTCACGTGTGGCATACTTTATCACTTAGTACTTGATTTGGTAGGTATTTATTCCGACTTTTAGAAGATTCCGAGTAATTGTATTTAAATAATTAAAAGCCTCTTAAGATTACAACAAGGGATCTCACGTCGGGTTCAAACCCCCGATCCCATCACGGAATATTTTTTTTTTTTAAATGCCAATTATGTACACCATAATCTTTAAATAAACTCTCAAGAGTAAAAAAAAAAAAGTTGTAGTGTGGGTTTTTGTTAAATTCATTTCACTATATATTGTTAGGATAAAAAAAATTTATGGTTTTTCTACATATAAATTTGATGTTTTAAAGGGAAAAATGATAAACTCGTTAAGAAAATCGGTCAATGAAGTCATAGGAGATCGATTTATCACTCTTTAATTATAGCACCAGACTTTGTTTAATTTACAAAGGGAAAACACAAGCGTCAAATAATGTTACAACAACCTTCCATACATTGTTGTGAAGAGTTACAAAGTTTGCATACCATAGGCGTAGCAAAACAAATTTTATATAAACATCATGACATGAATAGAAGAGAACTAAAGCTTTCTTTTCGTTCTCCCCCTTCGAAAATCCATCACTTGTTCACAGTCGACTGTCTTTGGGACTGATTCCAACCCATTTTCTAGCACATATACGGAGTACTTCATCAAACAGCATATATAATCTCTCCACTACTATCAAGGTCAAGCTCTGGATCCGATTCTAGATCATCTTCCATATCATCATCAATGTCCAAGCTGCCAGTTAAATACTTGTTTAGACTCTGGGATCCAGCTGCAGGAATAGTTGCCTCTGAAATAATCTGCATGATCTCATCAATACTTTGCATAGGCTGATCTGGCTCTTCATACTGATTATTTGCAGCGTTCTCATCCGTGAGATCTGCTGGTAGGTTCTTCAGAAACCATTCGTGCTGCTTTATTTCCGGAATGCTTATTCTCTGACAAATAAATGACTCACAAGTTCAGTTATCAGGTAAAGCAGATTCATCTCACATTGGATGGTGAGGTTGGTAATGTAACACAAAAGGTAATAGATTAAACACCAAAAAGCTACTCCTTCAAGGCAAATAGTTCTTGATATAAGTCACTAAACCATCACACAAGCTCCTATCGAAATAAATTATACTCCCTCTGTTCGGAATTAATAATTACAACTATTTTAAAATGTCCAAATAAAGGCGTCATATTTTCTAACGTGGATTGTAAGGTTTAATATAAATTACCAATATGCCACATTGCCAGTTTGCCACTACTTTAAATTAAGTAATGGGCTTTATCATGTCATACATTTAATCAGAAACTGCTAGAAAATGTGACAACAAACTTGAAAGATGGAGTAATAGTAATACACAAGCTAGACTGAACTTGGTGGGGGCACTATCATCAAAAGTTCAAAACAACAGATACAAAGATATCAACCAAGCAATGCAACAAAAATACATGGTAATGAACACAAACAAAAATGAGAAGAATCAAACAAAATTTCATGAACTCATAAGAGATTTACCTTTGCCGGATCAGCAACAAATATCCTTGAAAGCAGATGTTGACATTCTGGAGATATATGTACATAGTCAGGAATAGAGTATTGGACATTTAAAATTCGCTGCACCAGCAGAAATCACTAAGGGTCAGACAGGCAACCAAAGAAGCCACCACCTTGGTATATAAAATAGTAAATGACTTACATGTATTGTTTTGCGAAAATTTTTGGGTTCCTCAGGGTCCTCAAATGGGTAAGCCCCAACCAACATTACATACAAAGTTACCCCACAAGACCACACATCTGCAATCTGAAATGGCATGGAAGCAAAGATGAATAAGAGTATTCAAGTGTAGCCAACTAGCCACCACTTAATAGTCTTAACATCAAGGAGTGCAGCATGTTTAAATTTCCCACTTCTTCAAGAACTGGTAATATGTGATACTCGTAACATAAATGGCAATTTATATTAGCTTCCGAATGACAAGCTTTATCCAAAACATTAGTAGTCATTTATAGTTCAATATGACCCAGATTTCTCATGTACACCCTGAAGATGATATAAGAAAATGGAAGAGAAATATACAGATGCACACAAGAGTCAGTGTGATGAGCATATAACCTTGCCATCATATTCTTTCTTGAGTAAGACCTCAGGTGCAATATAAGCTGGAGTTCCAACAGTTGATTTGGGTTGAGAATGCAGAACGGAGGACTGAAAGTGAGCAACACATACAAATAAATGTGAGAATCAATTGTAGGAGCAGCTAACATTAACTGAGGCAGGATAACAGGAATGAGGGGCAGAGGGGAAATTAACAGCATGTGAAGCACAAGTATGCAGAGCAACGGTAACAAAATTGCTTTAGAAAAAGCATGTACCTTAGAGTACCCAAAATCACATATCTTCAAGCGAGGAACAGGACTTCCATCCAGTAACGTATTCTCCAACTTTAAGTCTCGATGGCAAACTTGCTTCAAGAAGCAAAAGCACGAAAAAAATTGGCCTTAATGAGAAAATGTATACAAAAAGAAGAAAACCATGAATAGACAGATAATTAATGGTAGAAGTACCATTGAATGACAGTAGCTGACCCCGGATATCAATTGTTGAAAGAAGAAACGTGCCTACGATAAGAGGAAAATCATTGTCAAATAACAAGTTACTAGCAAAAAGCACAAAAAATCACAAGCCAGTAAATAATCGATCACCTCATCCTCACTGAACCGTCCAGCAGTACAAATACGTTCAAACAGCTCTCCACCCGAAGCATACTCCATAACAATAGCCAAATGTGTAGGAGTCAATATAACCTAATAAAAAAACAATCAACAGTCAAGACACTTTGCTACAACCAAACACTTCAAGAGAAACAAGCAAGAGGAGTATACACTAGACAAATACAAACCTCCTTGAATCTGACAATGTTGGGATGTCTCAATGACCTATGATTAATAATTTCTCTCTGCACATTCTCATCTATCTGTACACATAACATAATCAACTTATTAACACAATGCAAAATCTCAGTAACCTTTATATATTTCAAATCATCAATATATAACTATCACTAAAAACAAAAGCCGCTAACATCATCATTGTGCACATGACATGTTCTTCTTAATTCTTCTTTCTCATTATAAATTTATACTTTAATCTTCCAAAATACACATGATTTTACATTTTTCCACGCATGTTTATTGCAACACTTTTCCAAATTCTTTCATTTGTATTTAGTATTGCCTATAAAATTGTATGTGCTTAAAATCGTGCTTTGCATGAGTACTAATCTAATTAACACTAATAAAATGATACAAATAGCAAATCTTCAATTTTGTGTAACAGAAAAAGTGAATGTAAACAAAGAATTGTGCATTTGATCACATTATGTCGAGCAGAATGATCACATAATATCGAGCAGAATGATCACATTTACTGCAGAATACAATCTCTAACCATATAGTGGTAATTATATAATCACTAAAACAAACATTATTAAATTATAGAAGTAATATTAAATTACAACTAATCACAAAACCCAAAACAAAAACTAACCACAACATCAAACCCGTAATCCAAATCATGGGGTCGGCTACATAAACCAACAACATCAAACCCGTAATCCCAATAAGGGTCGGCTACATAAACCAACATTAATAAACGAAGTAATATAAAATAAAATAAAAATGGACTGACCTTCTCACCTCGCTCGATATATTTAACAGCAACAAGTTCATTAGTAGTTTTATCTCTCATCAACCTAGCAACCCCAAAATTACCAGACCCAATATCTTTCACCAATTCATAACGATCACTGTTGTGCATTATCGGCAAATCTGCACTCAAATTCACTCCTCCTCCACCTCCGCCGCCGCCTCCGCCACCCGCCGCCGTCCGATCCATTTTCACTTTCTCTCTCTTCCCAAATTCAATCACCAAAAATTTCCAACTAATTGATAAAATACACCATTTTCATCATCTTCTTCATAATAATAATAACTCCCAAAAGAAAAATTAAAAAAAAGGGGAAATTTTGTTGAGAAAAAGGGGTACGTGTCGAAGATATGAAATCACGTGAAATTTGAAAAGGGTAATTGAAGATTAAAGTAAGAATCCTGTGAATTGCAATTATAAATCCCAAAATTTTCCCCTTTTTAGAAAAAAAATGATCACAGTTCAGAAATTAGGGTTTTGCAGAGTTAGTTGGGTGTTTCACTCGTGATTTTTTTTTTTTTTTTTTTTTTTGGGAAATTTAACAGAAGATGGAAGACATGGATGGTTGAAGATGATGTAGCCAACCGTTTTTTATTTTTATTTTTAAAAAAATAATAAAAATTTGATTTTAGGGATGTGAATAGCGGGAAATGATGAAGAAGGTGTTTATAGTAGGAATTGAATTAGCGGCTGAATATTAAAGTAGGCAACTACTACATGTAATAAAAAGCAAGTTGTGGGAGATATTTATGACTGATTTGCCCATGCTTAGATAAGGTTCACAAGTCACCAATTAAAGCTTCTACGGGGTACTTCCTCTGTCTCATAAAGGTTTGTATGGCGTATTGGCACGTAGTTCTAGAAGAAAGAAATGTGGGGTTGTGTATCGTTCATATGGTCAATTTCTCGCATTGATTTAATTTGATTTGGTATGATTTGAGTGTATATTAGCTTTATATATACGCCAATCATTTATAAAATTACCCGATTTTTGGATGTAATGATGTAATATTAATAATATATTGATAAAAAAAAAAGAAAAAATTTAAACATGATCTATTTTTCAAATAAAAAATGTATAAATCAAAGATACAATCGAAATTGAAACTTATAGATAAACATTGGTGGTTATAGCCTCATAGGATCAATGATATCATCAATCATTAGTTAATAGTTATGGTGCAATCATCAATCACTTGTTATGATGAGTTAACTCCCTTGAAGATGGGAAAAAAGACTTTCATAAATAAAAGAGAGTTATTTTGTAGATTGGTTTAGTCAGTAGAGGGGACAACTTTGTCTACAATAGTTGAAACATTAGAATTGAGATAAAAGAAGTGGGTGATCATATTATATTCACACCCTCATTGATTGACTCTTAAGACTCCATTAGGTTGGGTATTAGCCAATATAATCGCTATTGAACATAATTATTGTTGGTTATTTAGACATTTTATAGATTGAAATGCTTAAATTTTCTAACACTTTAATGTAAGTGTAAAGTGTTATTCAAATTTAGAAGTATTGATAATATTAATTTGAAAAAGACTATATATAACTCTTAATGTAGATGACTCATGCTATTACACACAAAAAAAAAATCATTTCATACTCTATAAAAGTCGTCATAATCTTCATGACATACAATATTTCATACGCTATGTGAAAGTTTCATGTACCAAATAAACGTCTAATGGTCTCATACCAAAAAAAATGAGCTTTTGGTAACACAAACACACACAGTGTATGTGTTACACTTTTTTTTAGTTTGCCCCATCCGATTCACTGGCTCGGTTTTTTGCATTCGGCTCAACTCGAACTAAAAACCTCTCTTAAGAGACATAAAGTTGCATACCACTTGAGCTAATTCTTGTTGGTATTTTTGTGTTACACTTAGGTTCTGTTCACATTTACTGAACTGAGCTGAGTTGAATTGAACAGGTTTGATTGGAGCTGAAGTAAATAGAGCTAAAATGAATATTTTATGAGAGAATAAAATTAATAGCTGAATTGAACCGAATTAAAATTAAGCTTGAAGTGAACGTGTGCATTATTTTGAGTGTTGAAGTGAGTTGAGAACTTAAGAAAACCAGATAAGAACTGGAAAACTACTAGGCTGAAGCACAAATCAAAACTCAGAAATGCTGTTAGTTAACCTGAGCAAACCACAACAACAACTCTATCCACTCTCTCTCCTCAACTCTCTTCCTCCTCCTTCAATCCCCAAACTCTCTTCTTTCTCTCTCCCCCTTCTTCTTCCTCAATCCACCATCTTCACCCCTCCGCAAAACCCCCCTTTCTCTCTCCACCACGTCATCACCACCATGCCTGAAAACCACCCCACTTACACCCCGCGCTACTTCACCTGGAACTTCTATCAAACACTTGGTGGGCGAACTCGAAACCGAAACCGAAACAGATAATGATGTGGGTGTTGATTCAAATGAGATAGAATTGCATAATTTTGACATTGAATGGGATAAAAATGGTGGTGAAATGAGGAAGATTGATATGCAGTTCGATTCGCCGGTGGTGGAGGTGACGGAATTGGAGGAATTGCCGGAAAATTGGCGGCGGTCGAAGATTGCTTGGCTTTGTAAGGAGTTACCTAGTCAAAAACGTCCTACCCAAATTCGACTTCTTACTGCCCAGAAAAAATGGATGCAGCAACAGGATGCTACTTATATTGCGCACCATTTTCTTCGTATTCGTCTAAATGATGCTGCGTTTTCGGTATGATTTCGTGTTTTTATCTATCTTTTTAGTTTGAATTCGATGTTGGATTTTTTGTTTATGATTATGAACTTTATGTGTTATTGCTATGTTTGGATTAGTAGACAGAAATTAAGTTATACCTTGGAGTATGGTTTTGGATGATAGAAGCAAAGTTTAGTGATTGAAAGAGAAGAAATCGGTTTTTCGATTGATTTGTTGTTTGTAATGGAGATTGGATTGATTATGGTGGGAGTTACACAAAATTAGTTTGATGTTTAGAAATCATGGGGCTTTGTTTAGCATAGAATTTTATACCCAAAAGTTAAACTCCTAAATAGGGCTATGGAAATTAGATTATGGACTCGGGTGTCAATGAGCACTTGTGTTCTTTTAGTGTACAAATAGCGTTGTGCATTCGGGTGATGAAAGCAAAGTTTACATTGATGTTATCCTGCAAAATAAGTAGGGAGAACATTGATTGATGCCCAAAGTTCGTGGCTTTGCTTGTTGGGATCTTTTAAGCAATGGTTGAAATTGAAGTATCCATTTTTTGCTAGATTGATCTTTGTATAGGAGATTGTATTGATTGTGGTGAGAGGTGACTCAAAACTAGTTTTATATTTAGAAATTATGGGGCTTTGGCTAGAATAGAATTTCATACCCAAAAGTTAACTTGGTAAGGCCAAGCAAATTAGATCTGGACATGGATGTCAATGAGCATTTGTTTTAGTGAATTAGTGTATAAGGAGCATTGTGCATTTAGATGATGAAAGCAAATTTTACATGTATGATATCCAGCACAATAGTAAGGAAGAACATTGTCACCTAAATTTCGCTGCTTTGCTTTGTTCGCCTCCACTAAGTAGTGGTTGAAACCAAAGTAATCCATTTTTCACTAGATTAATCTTTGTAACAGAGATTGGATTGATTATGATGAGAGTGACCCAAAACTATTTTGGTGTGTAGAAATTAAAGAGTTTTGCCTAGAATAGAGCTTCATACCTATAGTTTAACTTCTAGATAAGGTCATACAAACTAGATCATGGACATGGTTGCCAATGACCACATTTGTTCTTTTAGTGCGCTAGGAATGATGCGCTTTCAGATGATGAAGGCAAAGTTTACATTGATGATATCCAACAAAGTAGTGAGGGAGAACATTGATGCCTAAAAGTCGCTGCTTTGTTTTGTTGGCCTCCCTTAAGCAGTGGTTTAAACTGAAGTACTCCGCAAACAATTTTTGCTAGATTGATCGTTGTATGGAAGATTGGATTGATTATGGTGAGAGGTGAATCAAAGCTAGTTTGATGTTTAGAGATTATAGGGCTTGGCTAGTATAGAATTTCACCCCCAAAAGTTAACTTGACAAGGCGGATCTACAGTGGTGCCATTTAGCACTCATGCTCTTTTAGTGTACAAGGGACCATTGTGCGTTTGGATGACGAAAGCAAAGTTACAATTTTGATATCCAACAAGATAGTGAAGGAGAACATTGATTCCTAAAGTTCACTGCCTTACTTTGTTGGGCTCCCTTACGCTGTGGTAGAAATCAAAGTAATCCATTTTTGCCAGTTAAATCTTTGTGTTGGAGATTGGATTGATTATGGTGAGAGGTGACTCAAAACTAGTTTGATATTCAGAGATTATAAAGCCTTGCCTAGAATAGAATTGTATACCCCTTAGTACACTTGCTAATGCCCTTTTCTAGAGAATTTTGTTTCTATCCCTCCTAAAAGTGAAGCAATGGTAATTTCTTATGGCATTGTCCTATTGTCAAGAACTATTGACATTCGATATGATTCCTTTTGAATGCAATTGTGATCACTGCATAGGCAACTGCTCCAGCTTTTCATCTGCTGCTCCCTGGCATGCCTGTAGACATTTTTTAGGATTGCTTCCAAAAATAAAATGAATAATCACTTATAGACAATTGCTTTACAGTGTGTTTGATTTGAGAAAGGGGAAGGAAAAGAAGGGGAGGGAGGGGAAGAGAGAGGGGGGGTGGGGGGAAGGGAAGGGAAAAATGATGAGTTTCCTTCCAAATCTCTCTATTGTTGGAGAGATTAATTTCCTACAATTTAATCCCTCCATTTCTCCCCCCTCCAATTCCCTTCCTTAATAATCCATCCTTCCATTTCCCTTCCCTACCCTTCTTTCTTTCTCTCCATTCTGTCAATCCAAACAAAGTGTTAGTTCCTTGTCTGTGGAATGCATTTTAGGTTTTCTAGTTATTTATAGGTATATTAAGATGACTAATATACGCTTATGAGTTATGACTTGTGTTCCTCAGACTTTATTCTGTATGATGTACTTTATATGCACCTTTTTCTTATATTATATATCCATTAAACATGATAGGTGTACAAGTGGATGATCCAGCAACACTGGTTTCGATTCGATTTTGCTCTGGCTACCAAGCTTGCTGATTGCATTGGTAGAGAGAGGAAGTTTGCAAAATGTCGAGAGATTTATGATGACATTATCAATCAGGGACGGGTACCTAGTGAATCAACATTTCATATCTTGATTGTTGCATATCTCAGTGCCCCTGGTGAGGACTGCCTTAAGGAAGCATGTGAAATTTACTATCGTATGATACATTTAGGAGCATACCATCCTCGGCTTAGTTTGCATAATGCTCTCTTCAGAGCTCTAATAAGCAAACCTGCTATTTCTGCGAAACCGTATCTTAAACAGGCTGAGTTCATTTTTCATAATCTTGCAACCTGTGGATTAGAGATACGTGAGGAAATTTATAGTGGTCTCCTTTGGCTTCATAGTCATCAGGATACCATTGACAAAGAGCGAATATTTTATCTGTTGAAGGAGATGAATCTGAGGAAAATTCCAGAGACCAAAGATACTCTCTTATCCATTCTGAGGGCTTGTTCGAAAGTAGGTGAAGTGGATGAAGCGGAAAAGACCTGGCTTAAGCTTCTAAATTGTGATGGTGGTATTTCTCCTCAAGCTTATATGTATAAAATGGGTGTCTATGCTGAGGTTGGGGATCCTCTGAAGTCTTTGGATATATTTAGAGAAATGCAGAAGCAGTGTGGACAGATAAACAATGTGGCATACCAGAAGATCATAGAGATTATGTGTAATAGTCAAGAGGTACAGCTTGCTGAGTCTCTTATGAAAGAGTTCGTCGGGAGTGGTCTAAAGTCTCTTACCACATCTTATGTGGATCTCCTAAATATGTATTACAAATTAAGCTTACATGATAAAGTTGAGTCCACCTTCTTGGAATGCCTTGACAAATGCCGCCCAAATCGGGCTATCTATGGTATCTACTTGGACTCATTGGTGAAAACTAGCAATATTGAGAAGGCAGAGAGCATCTTCAAGCAGATGTTAGAGAATGAGGCTATTGGTGTCAGCAGCAGGTCATGTAATAGCCTTTTAAGCGGGTACTTAGCTTGTGGGGATAACGCGAAGGCTGAAAAACTCTATAGGTTCATGCGCCAGAAGAAATATGAGGTCGAGTCCTCTTTGATGGAGAAGCTGGAGTACCTTTTTACCTCCGCCAAAAAATTTATTGAGAAATATGTGACCTTGAAACTGACTCCAGAACAAAGAGAGATTTTGGTGGGTTTGCTGCTTGGTGGCTTGCAAATAGAGTATGCAGGGGAAAAAAAACTACATTTTGTTCATTTTAAGTTCAAGGATGATTCTGGTATACATACAATCTTGAAAAGACATATATATAATGAGTTCCACGAATGGCTACAACATTCCAATGGCTCTACAGATGACAGTGATGACATCCCTTCAGAATTTTTGACAGTCCCGCATACTTGTTTTGGGTTTTATGCTCATCAGTTCTGGGCAGAAGGAAAACAGAGCATTCCCAAATTAATTCATCGGTGGTTAACACCTCGTGTTCTTGCTTACTGGTTTATGTATGGTGGATACACTACACCAAATGGGGATATTTTTTTGAAGGTAAAAGGAAGCAAGGATGATGTGGAGAGAGGGTGTTTAAAGCATTAAAATTGAAGTCATTGGAGTTCAGGATAAAGCAAAAGGGCAAGGTATTTTGGTTGGGCTTTATGGGAAGCCATTCTACTAGCTTTTGGAGACTTATAGAACCTTACCTTCTAAATGACTTATTAGACTTCCCAAAAGCGGATGATCAGCCCTCGGAGAATATAACTGCAGAAAAGTCAAGTGTCTGATCTTGTAGCGAGTTTAATTCTGAAAATGGCAGGAATGCTCATTCTGGTTGGGGTGTGACAGTGATGATCCTTGAAGACTTGTGTAGATTTTGCTTGGTTGCCCCTGACCTCAATATCTTTACACGATGAGTTTGAGGAGAACTCCTCCAAAGTGATGACCATGTCAATGCATCGGCTTCATTTTGCTGCAATTGAGTACATCAGAGGCTCTCTGTTTTTTGATACTTATGTGAGCAAAGGGCTGTACATAGTCAAAAGAAGTAGAAACTTCAGCTTGTAATTTAGATAGGAACCAATTGAGTTAACCTATGGTGCTGATTTGCTGAACTCATGTTTTATAGATGTGCATTTCTTGTACTTTCTTATTCTTTCGTCCTGTGGGAGAAATGTAAGGTTGATGTTAAGAGACTATAGATTATAGAAAATGTCATGGAGACCCTATCTTAGAGATGGGCTCAATTCAATCTTGAAGGGTCTTTTCGCCTATGTACAATGGCAACGATGCATGTAATAACGCATTAAAAATGCCCAAAGATTGTACAGTTTCAGCTCATCTTTAAGAGGGAGTTATCTTCCCTCATCAAAGACACTGGTAAAAACGAGACTTCACGACCTTCCACTCTTCCTCTAGGCTTTATCCAAAAGTAAGATCATTCTTGCTTTCTGACAATGTCAACCAGAGGGATTCTAGATTTGTCGGTGTCACAACGATGAGGACAAGTTACAGCTAGGTAGTCATTATCATGCTGATTGCTGATTGCAGAGCCAAAGAGAAGAGAAGATGGTCATTCAGATGTTTGGATATGAGCTTTACATGTCCTTAATCCTTATCCACAACAGCATCAAGGAAAACCTCTTAGAGTTTCTCTTATATAAATATCTTACTCTATGACAACAGCAAGTTTGGTATATCAGAGAAATAGAGAGACTATCCCTTTCTGAATTTCTTATGAACATGTAGTTTGGACCACATTCCATCATAAAGATGCTTGAAATATATAAATTGGTGGTTTAAAAGGTTAATTTTAACCTTTAATTGTTATTTGTCATATTATATCAACTTAATTTTGTGACTTTTGTATACCATGGAATATTTTGGATTGCTAAGAAAAGAAGTTAGGAATCATTTTACCGTTTTCACCATTGAGTAATTAGTTACATGACTTGCAAATCAAAAGCTAACAAGTTTCTCTAGTCTTGTCATATTACAATGAAATTGAACCTTGTTAGAATCATGGATTAGATTTAATTGTGTCTTCAAGGAGTGTTATTCATGCTCTCCCAAATCCCAACATGCATTGTGTGTTCATTAGATATGTGGAAACATGTAAATAAGGAGCACAATACACCACTCACAAGAGTAAAAATAGTGTAAGAAAAAAAATTGAATGAGGAGAGAACATTTAAAAGGTCAAAAGTGTGAGGTAGAAATTAAGTCAATTTAGGATGCCATACAATCTTATTGAATTGTTGTATTGAAAAGAAAATATGTCATTTTACCTATTTTGTTATTGTGTAATTTGTTACGAAATACATAGAGTTAAAGTTTGACAAAATACTCTAACCTTGCAAGATTGGTGTAAATGTATTGTACATGTGAGAGTTTTATGTTGAACAAAAATTATGAGAGACTGAACGCTACAATCGCTGTTACGCAACTTAAGCCTGAAATTCCGCAATAAAAACGAAAAGAAAAACAATAATGTCATTATGTTGACAAATTACTCTAACCTTGTAAGATTGGTGTAAATAAATGTGTTATAGAATTCATGTGAAAATGAACGTTACAACAGCTGTGACACAACTTACGCCTAAATCTCGCCGTGAAAAGTGGAAGAGTACAAAAACTTTTAAAAAGAAACATATCAATAATATCATGATGTCAAGTGCATTACAACATCTCACGCTTATCCAACCTGCATAATACATGCTGACGTCTGTTACAACTGGCAAGTGTATCAATTTCTACACATTGCAACATTCACACTTATAAAACATGTTGACGTCTGATACAGCTGACAAGTGTATCCATCATAATATTGCACATTATAGCATCCACACTTACCATCCTACATAATAGATGCTGACGTCTAATACATCTGTCAAGTGTATTCATTCTACGGATTACAACATCTCACACTTATCTAACTTGTATAATACATGATGATTACTCATACATATGTATCAATTATGATTCTACACATTACAACATCTAACATTTATTCAGTCTACATACATGCTTGATACAGATATCAAATATATCCATTATAATTCTGCATGGTAAGATACATGAATCTTTTAAACACAATCCTCCTGATTTATAAACCTTAAAATTGTTATGATTTGCTTCCTGAAAGGAGAGATATGGATGAAACAATCACACTTGTGGCTCAAATTGACTACTCTATATAAGACTATGTTCTTCTAAATGAAAACTCCAAGACCTAGCTTTTAGTGAAACATGTGAGTTTACAACACCTATCGGACCTCCAAATTCCCTCAAACGGGTCAAACTCCATGTCCTAACTTCCATTCTTCCAAACCCAAATCCGACTCCGCCTCCAAACCCGAACCCAAACCCGAATGTTAGTTGCTTTGTTGGTAACTTTGTCATCCAAATTACGCCACCCCACCACAAATTTTTCACTTTTTATAAATCCAAGTGTCAAAGCAAACTCTTCCTCTCTTTTATTTTCTCTCTCTTACAATTTACAAACTTCCTTTCTTCCCTTCTTCTCAAGTTTTGTTAAACGGATCCGGGTCAAATAACCCGAAATGGTATCCGACTCGGAGCTAGTCGACCGACTCCGCGAAATCTTACGGACGTCGGACCTTAACACCACCACTCCCGCCGCCGTCCGCCGCCAGCTTCAAACCGACTTCGGCGAAGATTTGACTGATCGCAAAAAGTTCATTTCTCAACAAATTGATCAAATTCTTCATGAAGGTCACGTCAATGGCGCCGACGAAGACGAAAATGTGAGTCCGCCGCCGGAAGCCGGCGGTGATGACGGCGGCGGCGGTGAAGAAGACGGCGAAGAAGCGGCGGAGGAAGACGGAGCGGAAGCGGAAGAAGCCGAAGCCGAAGACGAGGAAGAGGAGGAGGAAGATGATGAAGAGGAAGAAAAGAGGTTTGTTATTTACTTATTTATTTAGTTTATATTAATTTTATTTGTTTTTCTTGGTTTTGTAATTTCGGCTAATTTAAAAGAAAGATGATTTTTTTTTTTTTATTGTTTGAATTTTATCATGAATTTTTCTATTTAAAGAATGAAATGATAGCTATTAATAAATAGATTGAATTAGTAGTTGTTTTTTAGGTGAGTGTTTGCTGTTGACTGGTTTTGCATGTATGTTCTTACAGTTGATTAGTTATTGTATTGAAGAATTTGTAGTTAATCTTTAAGAGATTGGTGTGTTTGGTAATACTTAGAATATGCTTTCGAGAGTATGATGCGCATCATGCTCAACGACGTGTTCTTTTCGTGCATTTGATTGAATGATACAGTAGTACATTTTGAATTGGATTTTATAATTTGATTGGAATGTGTATTTCAATGGGAATTTATGGAACGTTTGATTTGTTGGTCAAAAAGTTAACAAGAGAGGGAAATGGTAAGGAAGGAATGGAAGAGAGGAGAAGTGGAGGTGAGGGAGGGATGGAGAAGGAATTGTTGAAATCCTTGGCTTCGGAAAATACATTATTTTTTCTGCATTTAGGAAAATTATTTGCGACTTAGGCTCTATTGGTTTGACGGAAAGCATTTTCAATGTAAAATGCTTTTAATTTCGGGTTTGCAAGAAAAGATGGAGAGGAAATGAAAAGGGAATATGGAAGGGTTGGATAGATGGGAAGGGAGAAAGAGGAAGGTACATGTAGCTTTTTTGTCTAACAAAAGGAAAATGTTTTACCCCCTTGGGAGGAAGTATTCCACTATTGGGAAAAATTGTTTTCGATTCCAAATAAACCAAACAAAGAACAATAGGATAAACATCTTCCTGACCTAAATTCTCTCGACAAAAATATTTTCTTGCTAAGCATACCAAATCCAGGAAAATGGGATATCAGCTTTCCTAGAAAATGATTTTTCACCCAATTAAAAACAGAATAAGGGTTTTTGGCCTTTTTGATATCTCTAAAAAAGTACCTCACTGGGACACCATAGGTAATTGGTTGCAAATCTTAATGCTTTGAAGCATTTTGAGGTTGATATAAAGTTTTTTCATATGCAACATCTCTTTGATGTGTTGTCGGTGTTGATGTGGCAACAATGAAGTCATTAAGAACTCTTTGCCTTTGATTCTTAAATGCATCTTGCTTTCTGCCATGACAATTTGCCTTTTCTTTCAAAAACTAGGTCCAAGGATGAGGAGGCAAAGAAGAAAAGAAAAGGAACCGGGTTTACCAGATTATGTAGTCTTTCTCCCCAACTTCAAGAGTTTGTTGGTGAACCTGAGATGGCTCGAACTGAGGTGATATTCTACTGCTTCTATCATCTCATTTCGTTTTAATCAGGGTTGCTAGACTTCCAATGTTTAAACCGTGGATTCTGTATTGCCAAATTCTGTTTGGCTTCAGGTAGTTAAGAAACTCTGGGCATATATTAAAGAGAAGGACTTGCAAGATCCTAGTAACAGGCGTAACATAAAATGTGACAAGATGTTGCATTCGATTTTTCGTGTAGATACCATCAATATGTTCCAGATGAATAAAGCTCTCTCCAAGCATATATGGCCGCTTGAGTCAGAGGAAGGTATGTATTGCTTGTTTTGTGATCATCTTTTATTTCCATTACTTTTGCTGTCATATCCTTCTGACATGAATGGAGCTAATCTTAAAGCTGAATGAACAAGAATCGACTTGTATACATCTAAAGTAAATAAAAAATACCTATACAGCCTAAGGCTGGATCCTCTGTAGAGGCATTGGTGGTAATTGATGTTGATAAAAAAAAAAAAATTAAAAACAAAATAAAATAAAATAAAAAATTATGAGATGCAATAGTAGTTCCTGTTCCAAGAATAATTCTGACTGCATTAGCTCAATCCAGGGACATTATACTTCAAAGTAAATTGCTCTATACTGGAACATGGTGGATTAGGAGTTTAGATTACAATTTCTTCCTTCTTTATTTTGTTAACTGTATAAATTTTTGATGGAGCTGTCCGGTTGCTGTTTCTTAGGGGTCCATAAGTTGATTAAAAAAAAAAGCATATGCTGTTTTGGATGTCTAGTCTTTGCTATGTTCTCTTTGACGCGGTTTTATTTCTGGTGCCATCACAATGTTGTTTCTCCTGTATGTTGGAAGATTCGCCCTGGAAAAAATGTCTTCTTATTTACTTTAATGTCAACCTGAATTACTATCTTTAAATGCTAAAGAAGAAAGCACATAAAAGACAGGTTCATGAGTTCTTTCTACTACTACAGTTTATGGTGTTTTCTACTGTGCGCATGTACACTGTCTGTGTTCCTGCATAAAATGGCTGCGAATTTATGCTTCAGAATGTGCATTTTGTAAAAAAGATAGTTCGTCAAACTTGCTTGTATAACTTTTTTTCTTGAACTTTCTATTATAGATCATCCAATTGATAGGCGGCCTCCAGTAAAGAAGCAAAGACGTCAGAAAGACGTAGGTGATACTTTTGAACTATTAAAGATAGGCTGCTAATTTGTTTGGTGATATCCTGTATTAGGTCAAAATTAATTGCTTGCATATGAGGATGAACGATTGCTGTCTTTTAAAAAAAAAAAATTAATTTTATTTTATTTTATTTTATATGGATAAACTATTGCTGTCTTGTTGCCTTTTGTATTTACATATTCTCCTTCTTTTTCCCCCTTTTTTTTTTATAACTTCAATTTGATACGGAAAAATCAAAGCCAAAAGCTAAACAAAAAAAGGGAGGTACTACTGGTTTTCTTATACCCCTACAACTTTCTGAGGCTTTTGTGAAGTTCCTTGGTACTGGTGAAACTACTCTAAGTAGGTCAGACGCTGTCAAGAGGATTTGGAACTATATAAAGCAGAATCAGCTCCAGGTATGGTATTGCTTGCCTAAACTATTCAATGAAACTTTTACATTCCTTTCGTTTTCTCCTGTGTTTTCCTTTTTTAGGATGAGGGGTTGGGGTTGGTGGCCTCTAATGTGAATATGTATAACTTGAAGATTTTTTGCTTACATAATGGAAACAATTGCGAAAATACCTTCCATTCATGCTGCAACATGCTTTCAACTTCAACCCCTGAGCAACTGGGAAGCTTAGTTGTATTTGCAATTTGCAGCTCTTACACATGAGACTTTATCCAGTACTCGTATAATGTACCCCTTGGTTCTTATAATTGATGTCAAAATCTCCGTTTTTGGATTTCTCTATAAGTAGTCAAATTAAAGCATTGAATGTGCACAAAATTTGATGGTTGGTCAGAAGTAATAAAAAGGGTAGGAAACTTTAGCGTGATGATAGAAACTTTTCTTTTCCTAATTTCAAAATTATATAGGACGAAGCAAGATGCAATTCATTTTAGCCTGGTTGCTTGTGTATCCTCTTATATTTCAATTGTTGATTTGCTTCTTCATGCTTTATGATTCTATCATCCATATCACTAATATTAAGGTAATGTGCAACTGTTGAAAAGAGAATTTTTACCTCTAAACATGTTGACATGTTGTACTTGTTCTTTAGAATATAGCTATTGATTAAAATGATTTTGGGCCTTCTTGAAAAGCATGGGCAATCTCTGCTAGTCTTAATTGGTCAAGGGTAAAGCTGTATACTTTTTTACTCTATCCACATTGCCACATTTGTGGTCTTTTATTCTTATTCTCAAATCTCCATTTCCATTAAGACATACTCTGACAACTGCAACTAATTTGCTGTCACTAAAGTTGAAGAAGCCACCAAAACATATGCTTAGGAATATCAAAGGCAAATCAAACTACTTGAACCTTCTTAGGCCTGTTGTCTTCACCTTATATCCTCTTATTGCAGGAAAGTTAAGTTTAGATGAGGAGGTCAATAAGTTCAGATAGTTCGGAAAGGGTAAATAAGGGTTACCCAAGCTCAATTTACAACTAAAATAAGCTTTACTAAGGTTCAATAAGCTCGTTTAAGTTCAAGTTAGTTAAATTAAGTTCAAATAAGTTCATAAAAGTGGATATCTGGAGAATAGAACAAACCCTTACTTTGTGTGAAGTACAGTCACCAAGAACTCTCCCACATTTGTAGGCGATTTTTTCAACTCCACTGTCCTCTCTTACTATAACTATCTACTACAGTTTTTCAAACTATAAGTTATATGAAGTAGAATAGTGGGTCAGTTGTAGTTGCACCTATCCAAACAAAAATTGCATGTAGAGTGCTGTTTCTTCTTTAATCCTTTTTTGGAAACTTTTTTGCTTTTGTGAAACTTGCATCGAGATATTAAAAGCCTTCACTTAGTCATTTTTTTAAGTCTATATATATAACTTCTTCTCACATGGTCTCTAGCTTCTGTAAAAGTTCTCACATCTATACTCTTCTTTACATTCTTGTCTCAGCTATTTAACAAAATTAAGTGCTAATGTACAGTCCAAGCAAGGTGTCTTATTTGCTTTTCTATGATCTTTATTATATAAGCTAAAGATTATTTCTGTAAATTTTAAATATTAGCATCACTAGGTATAGAATCTATTCTCAAATTTTCTGCTGGGGAAGACCACCTCTAAATCTATCTAACTGTTGCGGGAACTTAGCATTGTAGCAGATTCTTCATAATATGCTTCCAATAATCTTGCTCAATAGTATTTCTTTTTTACCATCCTTATTAGAAGATTTGTAGCTCACTTCAAAAGTTGTTGGGGTTTGGGGAATTTCTTGGTCTTTCATCATCTTTCTGATTTCCTAGGCTTATCTAACAGGATACCATCATACCTCTGGAATATTCTGAGTTACTTGTTTGTCCATGTCTTTAGTTGTAATTTTTAAGTTTTGAGTTTTGACCCGCAGCATGCCTGACCAACACTACTGCTCTTATGTTTTGAAGGACCCTTCTGATAAGAGGAGAATTTTGTGTGATGAAAAGCTAAAGGAACTATTTGACGTGGATTTTTTCAACGGCTTTTCAGTCTCAAAGTATCTAACTGCTCATTTGACTAAAGTAGAGCAATGAGCAGAGTGCTAGTGTTGGAACTTGGAAGTAGTTCACCCTGCAATATAGGTGAGCAATTTTTGTGGAAGTGCAGCATACCGTGTATACAATTTGAAAAGCAGTAGTGGGATGCAGGTTCGGTAGGATAGTTAACAGTTTGTATTTTTCCTTTTCTGACCCGCTTGACCTTCATGGATGTAATTAGCCTTTTTTTTAGTTTAATACAAGTGCCTTTGTACCTGTTAGCTTCTTTGTAATGAAGCTGAACTGTGACTCCCTTTTGCATTTTCATGTATCAATTACCATTAGTAGGATATGTTAACAAAGCTAAGGTTTTACTCTGCTCAAGTGCCTACTCCTCATTAGCCACTACCCCCAAAGCCAAGTGCCTCAAGATACTCTTCAATTTTGTCGAAGTTGTAGTTTGAAATGTCAGCTGGTTGTCGATCCTAGCTCATGTGCCCTACCTTTGTATCGGGGCCTTGGCCATTGCGTGGTCTAAATGGCTTTGTGTCATGTCGCCCATTCAACCTGCTGCAAACTGTCTGTAGTCCTAAGCAAATTATCACCCGAGACACTGCCCATCCCTCCTGCTTGTGTCTTTGGGTTACTTCAGTTATTTTGACCCTGCAGTTTTTATAGGAGAGTCTAAGATTAGCCCTAAATAAACAAAACACTTTGTTACATGAAGGGAACCAACAACTTAGATTATTCTGAGTTTTATTGACTGAACTCTGTGCTTTGTATTTATTTTTTTTATTCTTTTGTAATATTCTTTGTATTTTAAACTCTGTAAATATATATTGTGTATTATACTTGGATATTCAAAATTAATGATTGTCCACGGACCGAGCCAAAATCGTGTTAGGATATGCCTTGCCATCCTGTATGTTGGCTTAGCCTAGACACCTAGTAATCTTTTACTATCAAAGGAAGTGCTTCAGCTAAACAATGGCAAAGCCATGACTTAAGGCCTTCTGTAAGATCCAAATGTGAGTAGATTGTTGACATTGTCCTTTATTTGAGCCAAAATAGAAATGGATCTTTGAATGTGGTACAATCGGGTCTGGCCTAAACAAGCCTGTGTTCCCTGTGGCCAGGCCCGTGTACCGCCAAGCGTGTTTTTAATTTACACTAATATTTTATTCACTAGTCATTTATTTATTTATTTATTATTTTTAAAGAAAAAATTTACAGAAGTTAGGATAGTCTTTTATGGAGAGTAAGAGCCAACTTAGAATTTTCAGCTAATTTAGTGTTTGTTTTAATTTCGTTTAGTTGGACTTTGATTGATTTTCTAAGATAGGGAGCAAGTAGAAAGTATTACTTGATTATAAGAGCTAATAAACATGATTATCTAATTACCAGTTTTAATATATTATCCATGACTTTGTCTAAGGTTGGCACCATGAGCTTGCTAGGATTAAAGAGTGTGAACTTGCTGGTTTTTGCTTTCTGTCTCTTCATAATTATTATTAATTACCTATAACTCCAACTACTACCAAATCTATCTTTGTTCAACACTTTTTTTAACCTACTGTTTTACGGAGTAAAATTTTGATCTAGTCAAATTATATAATCTATAGATTCTTTAAAAAGTCAGTGGCACATTTAGCTTATTCTCTACACTTGATTTTCGCTTAACTTAATTTTTTACTAAATAAAATATATTGTATATTTGATTCATGTTAAATGTTTCTTTAAAGTGATGGATAAAAATGGAGGTAACTAAGGGTCTGTTCTCTTACGTTGAAATTCAGTTTAGCTCAGTTCAGTTTAGCTCTGTTCAGTTGAGTTCAGCTCCTAATTTCCTTCTCTTATAAAATATTCATTTTAGTTCTGCTCAGTTCAGTTCAGTCGATGAGAACAGGCCCTAATTAACAATTGCTTTGTTGATTAAAACAAATTTTTACTGATTAAAACTTATTTGAAATCAATTTTATGTTGATTTGAATCTCGGATTAAAGTTAGATCATATCCCATAATATTTTTATATTGTTGAAGAAGGGTATATAAGATGAGGAATCTTGAAGAAGGGTATAAGATGAAGCGATTCTACAATCTACAATTGCTGGCATGTTCATATGAAATTGAATCAGCCGACACCTCCACATTTACCTGAAAATTGCCTTTATTTCTCTCTCCTCTTTTTCTTAGTCAAACTGTCACAATTTCATATTCTCCTTTGTCCACCAATTTTAGATTGTCCTTCCCTTAATTAATTAATTTATTTATTATTGCATAATTTGGAGTGTATTTCAACCCTTCCTTCCACAGTCCACACTTTAACCCTTTGTAATATAACTATTCAATGTAGCCTAAGGCTAAATACTCATAGCTTTAACCTTTAAGCCCTTAAGTACTCGTATAAGTTTGGATTCCGCGTGTTATGCTATTCGATTTGAAGTTGGATTATGTTTAAATCTTGTAATATTGTTATACGAGTAATTTGTACTTAAAAAAATAATAATAAAATTATACGAAGTATTAGTACTTTGATGATTTTTTGGGTTGGGCAAGTTAATGCCTAATTCCAACTATTTGTGGAATGTATTTATCAATGTATCATTTGTAAGTATGAAATATGATGAATTTTCATTAGATTAATCCTCGTAAAAAGGAGGGATTTTTGATGAGTCAATAAAGAGCAAATCAGTTAGTAATAGATAGAGTAGCTCATCAGACTTGCGTAATATGACTCGGCCAGAAGGTTCGTTTGAGAGGACCGAGACTTTATGTTATTATCAAAATAATAAAAAATTTTCCTAATTAATTGTGGAAAAGTGAAAAATAAAGACATTAATAATTAGGTTAGGAGTAGTTAGTTAGTACAACTCGATGATTTTAGAAAGATTCCATTTAAACAAGAAAGAAATAGATAGAAGGACAAAAGGTACCATGAAGAGGGGCCCAATTCATGAAAATTCCATGAATATATCAACTTATCGTCACGTGTAAGATGCTTTCTCTCATTTGCTTAAGACGCCTTTTTCTGTCCTTTTCTATTTCGTAATCCAAACTATAGGTTTTTTTTTGCGTCACTATTTATTCTCTTCCCCTTTTATTTTGTTTTTTAGAATCCTAAAATATTTTTTTTGATTTGCTTAAGATTTTCTTACTACATCAAGTAAGAAAAAACTTGCCTTGTTCATTGAATCTTTGCTTAGATATTTCCAACAATATCATCAATTATAAAGAGATAATTTCAATTGTTTGATTTTATTTGCCAATTATACATAGTTAAATCTTAAAATGATGAGACGAATAATAGCACATATGTCGTTTAATTTAAAGACAAACTAGTGGCATAAATAAATATTTGTATGTTTACGTATTGCCTTTCATTCTAATGGGATCGCTTCGTATTCCTTTTTAGGCCGGATATCTTATTGAGTTTGTCTAGTAGCATACATATTTTACTTGATTTCACCAATTTTCTCTTGTGATAGCATTAACCATTAAAAAGTCTCCAACAATTTTCCCACAGGAGAAAGCCATTTAGGAAGATATAAAAATTGAATATATGATTAATCTAGAATTTCCCATTTTATAAACAATGTCGTCTTGTAAGATTAGCCTAAAATTTATTAGGTAGTTGGTTTTTTTTATTTATTTTATTTTTTTATTATTATTATTTTATTGTGCTTGATTATTTGCTTATATTATACTCCATTATCATAAGGAATAAATGAATAATACTACTATTCTATGTCCGAAATGTAATTATCACCAATGAACCAATTTTGAAATATTCATAATGTCAATATTTTTAGTTGTAATAAAGAAACAATAAATATTTTTATATAGAGCTAAAAAAAATGTGTAGGAGGTAGTAAAATTACATATATGAATAGGTATAGTAAATTACATTACTAATTGCAAAGATTGTGAAAACACAAATGTAAATAAAAGTCATTACTACATTCAATATGGTTTGTAGAAGACACTTGTTCCTCGTCTATGGAGTAACGTACTTAGATTGATATTCATTACGAGTAATTTATTTTTGACATAATGCATTGATTATTGATGATGGACAAAAATTCAATTCAAACAAAATAGGCATAACACTAATCACTAGACAATTAACTGTTTTTCTGAATATAACTTTGCAAGCCAAAAGGAGCATCAAACTAAGCTACCTAATTAATGTACATTTTTTTTTCCACTTTCATTTATGATTAGATAAAAGTGATGATGTTAGTGATCCGACTAAAGTATTAAACTATTAACTCAACTTGTACACGAGTCTATTAATTTAAATATTACTCCCTCCGTCCCAAAAAGAACGACCCATTTGGCCAAAATTTTGTCCCAAAAAGAATGACTCATTTGCATTAAAACACCCACCAATTTGCTACAATATTTGTGCAAAATTAACTTCCCCGTATAAAAATTTGATTTTCCATGTTATTTTATTACTTTCTCTCTCTATTTTTTTTACAAACCCCATGTAAATTTATCTTTCCAATATACTTTTACTTCTTTTTACTTAATTTCCTTAATACCCGCGTAATCAATCCAAATGGATCGTTTTTTTTGGGACAGAGAGAGTACTTATTAAACACAAACTCTTATAAAATTACACGTAAACACAAGCGTTATACCTTTATACCGTTATAAGTTCATAAACACCTTACCGTAGTACAAGTATACAAGGAGTAAAATTGTTGCCGACTTGCCGGTTGCCAACTTGCCACATTTAGAGTTGCACCTTTTTATCCTCCCATCCAACCAGCAGTAAATGTAAAATAAATAGAATTACCCCAAGAATCCAATAATAGAGATTCTCTGTGACAAACGAATTCAACAGCTTTTGGATGATTCTTCAAATTGTACTTTTTTTTATTAATTAATTTAATTTATGGGTCACAAATAAAAATTGTTTTGAAAATTGTAGGAAAGCGAGGTGGTAATAATGCTTCATACTAGAAAACATTTCATGGTGGTACACTTCTGATAACAACACAACACTACACAACACAAAGATACCCTTTTTTTTTTTTTTTTTTTTTGGGTAATTGTTCTTGGATTCCTATATGCTGTATGCCAAAAGATGCTCATCTAATAATGACTTCTCAATATACGTCCAATTTGAGTAAATTGTACACTTTGCACTCTTTTTTTTATCAATCAATTTACCTATTCTTTCAATTATAAATTTAATTAATATAGTTATGGTCATGCCATACTATGGCCCATATAAGAGGCATTAATCATAAGCTACAATATGATCATATGTAAACAGCAAAGGGTTATATGGGAGTAAAAGAGATTGCTACTTT